AGCTCCTTCGGTCGCCTTCGCAGGTTTCTCGACAGTGTGGCCTGAAACGCAAAGAGCTATTTCAACATAGTCCGGCTCCTAAATCTAAGCTGAGCCCGTGAGAGCAACGACGCACATGTGGTCACTAGCCCTTTGTGTTTGAATCTGGGCATTTGTTTTGGGGTTCCGAATGGCAAGGATGCTACTGCTTCACGTGCATATCCTTCAATCACAAAGGAGAGAACTGTTCGCGTCGTTTCGGGTCTTCAGAATGCCGCATAAACCACAATATACATGCTGATTCCAGGATGCTATGTGCCTGATGCAGTAGCCGTAATCAACATATTATACATACATGGTTGTATTGTCATATCACTATACAGCATGACATTATGTAATTGTGCCACGTAGAGGACTCCCTGCCAGACTACCTTCCTCAAAGAGAAGGCCGTCGTTGAGCACTCAGCCATCCCATGCTTTCGGTTGTCCCAGACTTCTCCAGCGGTAAGTTGGAGGGCGAGAAGTTCTCTTCAATAAGGTTTTTTAAAGCTGTTCTACCTTTGGAACGGTTTGGACAGGCCTACACGGTGTTCGTTGGCCATTTGCTTTGAGAGGCGGCGTGCGGCATGTAGTGTAAGAACAGCAGGACCCTAAACCCTCATCCCTAATGGGATCGAAGCCCAAAGCTTAATTACCCTAAACCCTAAACCCTAAACCTTAACGGGATCGAAACCCAAAACTCAATTACCCTAAACCCTAAACCCTAATGGGATCGAAGCCCAAAACTTAATTACCCTGAACCCTAAACCCTAATGGGATTCCTCTCGGCGAACTTGGATCTGAAATCGGCCTCATTGACTGAGATGAGGGGGAAGGTCATGCTCTCTGTTCTGATACCCTCATTCGTCCGGATGGGTCTCATCCGTGCAGAGATGATGAATGTAAGAAAGGGCCGACCAAGCCAAAACCGTGGGAACCAAGCCACAATTGAGTGGCTCCTTTTGGACTTCAAGGCGTCAAGGACAACGATCACTTTGAACGAGGAGCTGGCGGACAGGATTGGGGCCTTCCTCATGCGGGAAGCCCAGGAGGTCAGAGAAAACGGCGAGGAGCTTGATGCGCACACCGCTGAAGAGGTATGGTCCCGCGTCGTGCTCGGGAGCACCTTGAGAGGCCACGCCAGCGGATCAGGAGGCAAGGAACAGGGCCTTACGGCACAGGTGACACGTATGACCCGCTGGAGTTTGGGTTGTACATTGTTGCGAAGGAAGCCTTTGAATCCGCGATTTTGTCCGCGTATCCAGTTACAAAGCCCTCTTGAGTTACCTGATCTCCTTCGAGGAGAGCGGGAAGAGCCCGGCAGAGGCTGCCGCGGCCGAGTCCACCGCCGCTGCACCCTTCGGGAACCCTGGCGCAATGGGATCGAAGCCCAAAACTTAATTACCCTAAACCCTAAACCCTAATGGGATCGAAGCCCAAAACTTAATTACAGAAGCTTCTCCTTGCCCCCTCGAAGTCAAGCCCTGCCATCACATGTTCATACAGGGGTTTTCCTTTTTGTAATACTATCCCCGTAGGGTCCCTTTGTAACTACTCCTCACGGACTAGTTATAGCGTATTGTATCCTAAACAATTTGCTGATTATTCAGGCCCCTATCGGAAACCCTAAACCCTAAACCCTAGGCCCTATCGTATTACTCGCGGTTTAGGGTTCAGGGGCGTACTTAGCGGATCAGGGGACCTTGTCAGTAGGTCACAGGAAGAGTTAACAGTACCCTTACTCGTAACATCCTACTTAAAACCCTACTTACTTGGAGGTTCATGGGTAGTTATAAATGGAGTGATAAGTCCCCTAATATAGGTTATGACTACAGTTACCCTACATATAACCCCACTTGTGACTACCCATGAACCTCCAAGTATAGCATACTTACTACCTTCCGCGATCCCCTAAGAGCCCTAAATTCCTAAATCCGAATGCGGGCCTGAACCCTAAAACCCTAAACCCTTTAACCCACAAGCCGTAAACCTTAAACCCCGAAACCCCTAAACCCCTAAATCCCTAAACCCTAAACCCCTAAACCCGTTAAGTCATTACCAATACCTTTTTCGGGGATTCCTTATTAGAAATTATAGCATAATATACCCCAACACCCTATTCTAATTATTAAGGGCCTCTACAGTAAAGATTGAGGGTATAAACCCTAAACCCTAAACCCTAAACCCTAAACCCTAAACCCTAAACCGCTAATTATTAAGGGCCCCTACATTAAAGATTGAGGGTTGAGAGACTCGAGGTTGATTGCTGTCAGTCAGCGCAGCCACAGGCAGAGGCGTTTGTACGGCCAGTCTTGGATTTTGGGGTTCGTTAGGGTTTAGGGTTTAGGGTTTAGGGTTTAGGGCTCAGTTCCTCTGTAGGGTTTAGGGTGGACCCTAAACCCTAAGCCCTAAATCCCCAAACCCCAAACCCTAAACCCTAAAGCCCTGCACCCCTAAATCCTAAAGCCCCAATCCTAAACCCTAAACTCTAGAGCCCCTAAAGGCAGGTGTCAGCAGAAGGCCTGAAGCTGAGAGCCCCTCCCATCCAGCGAGCTGTCGCGCTGGACAAGCACTGAATCATGAGCATAATACACCCGCTACAACCCTAAACCCTGAAACCCTAAATCCTGATCCCTCTAGTGATGATAAGGTTTGTAATGCACCACGAAATTCTTTGCGAAAACCGACGAATCTCACTCTATTCTATTAAGGTATGCGCCTCTATATTAAAGCCGTTATAGACCGCGTTAAAGCTCTATAAGACCTTATTCAAGTTATTAAGATTTGGACCCATACGTTTCAACTCGCGCAGAGCCCTTACACAAACCTATAATAGCGACTAAGACCCCCTCTATAAAACCCTTGTAAACCGCTACTAAGACTAAGCCGCTATCAAGAATAGATACAAACATCTGATTTATGGACGACTCAGGCGCCCCTAAAAAACTGCAAACCCTATAATTAAAGCCTATTCTGAAGATTAAAGCTCTATAAACTCTTACCTATTCTAAGGATTAAAGCCCGCCTCTGCTAATTCCGAATCCCCGGTGAACTTCATCCTTGACTTCAACCCAGGTGTTCACGCACGTCCTCCTCCTGAAGGTGTGCTAGGGTTTAGGGAAGAATAATTAGGTTCAGGGGTTTAGGCTTTAGATTTACAGGATCTTGGGCTTAGATTTCTGCGGTTTAGAGCTTAGGGTTTTGTTGGAGTCTGGATATGCATTTACCCAGAGGGTCCTAGATGTATCGCC